ATCACAAAATTGCATGGGTTAAATTTTTGTGTTCCCTCCTGTTAATTTTGTGTTCCCAGTACGTTCCCTCCTGTTGTCATTAATACTTTTTTCTTTTGCCGATCGAACAAATTGGCCCATATGACTAAATTTGCTAAAATCGTTGTACGACATAAATAAATATTTGCGATTTTCCAAAATATATGTGGTGCGACTATATAAATTATGCATGATTCGATTATTACCTCATGTATCTGTGAGAAAATGAGAAAAATACATTTATTTTGCAGATAAGAAATAAGAATTTTTAAAAATGTTTAATATTAATGGCCAATTCACCTATCAAATCTCGCTTTCCTCTATAATAAAGTATTCTGAAATTTTATTTGATTACGAAATTTTTTTGTCTTTTTAAAACTGTTTTATTTTATTCTTTCACATGATTTTTTTTTAAGTTACATATTGTGTATGTGCTAACTTTTCATGACGATTCTTACGCATTTAGAAGTTTTTATATGATGATCGCCCCAAAATTTATTTAATAAAATGCTCTGATTCGTAGATGGATCAGCAATTAATGATTTAAATCAAGGATAAGATACAAGAACAAGTAGTGCAAGATAATTTCTTATGAAAAATGATAGAGTTGCAAGGGAGAGAATGTACGGCCCCTGGATCATTTAATGTACGCCCCTATACTTTGGCTCTACCAGGTGAAAAACTATTTATTACTATTGTTATAATCTATTATTTCGTTAGAATTGTAGTCGTTACCATCACTACTCATGATTTTATTTTTTTCTTTAGTTTTAAACACAATCCAAGCCTTTATCGCGCCTATGGTTCTGACATCGGGTTTCATTTTTTCATTATAAAAACTTTCAATAGCCTTAAATCCAATAACTTTTATTTTTGTTTGTTTTTTAAGATCTCTTATAACTTCATTAATCATATCTGATCTAGTATGATCATTTTCTTCCATAGTTTCATTGAAAAGGTTCTTAAAATTTTGCACAATTTCAGAATTTGAAGACGATGATCGATTCGAAGCTGGAACAAATAAATACAAAATGGTTAGCCTGGATCATTGACATGAAAGGCTTGAAAAAAAAATAAAACGCTTACCTTGAGAACTATTTGTCAATTCACTTGAAGCATCTCCCGAAATTTGTTTTTGTTGCATCTCTTCGATAGCAATTGAATTTTTCAGTAAGGTCATCAAATTTTCGATTAACGTCTTCGGACAGAAGTTTCTGCGCATCTTTTAGTGAAGTAAGAGTGATATCGGTTTCCTGTTTTAATGTACAGAGCAAAGCATGCAATTACAATGATTAGATAAACTGGGAATTTTCCTTCGATAATCCACAATAGTTTTCTTATAAACCTAGAAAAGTATTCTCATATAAACAATTATTATTTGCTTGCTTTATCAGTTATTGATAAAAAGAAAAGAAAAGTTTAAATTTGTCAGTATAATGATAAGTTATTATTAATAAAAAGGACTATTTATTTGCAATTTTATCAGTTAATTAATTATCTCACATTTCCGTTTTAATTCCACATTTACAAGTTACTATAATAATAATGATAAACGACATCATGGAAAAAATCCGGATTGCTTATTTGCTTTTATGAAATAAACTGATTTTTATGGAATGATAACCATAATCAATAGAAATATTCTGGAGTGTCATTTTTTTCAGGGATAATAAAAGCAATAAATACTTAATTAATCTTTCAATAATATATTATCTTAAAACTTTTATGTAAAAATAATCCTTGACTGTAATCAACTAATGATTGATTAATTCATAACCTTTTCTGATGATTATGGTTTGGCCAATATTTAATTATTAATTAGGAGCCCCTTTTAGTTTTGCTATATTGCTTGTAGGGACGTCTCAAGTAGTGTAGTTGTATACGGTGATTTTAGTTTGAACATTATTGACTGTGTGCCAGATTCGGTGACACTGTAATAGAATAAAATTTCTATTTGTAATAGCAAATAGTAATACAAATTTTTGTTTCGTTTCGTTTATTCGAATTATTTATTGTTTGTTTATTATTATTATTCAAAACTATTATTATTCGTTTATTATTCGAATTATATCATTCGTTTATTATTATTATTATTTGAATTGTTATTATTATCATTCGTTTATTCGAATTGTTATCAATCGTTTATTCGAATTGTTATCATTCGTTTATTCGTTTATTCAAATTATCATTTATTTATTCGAATTATTACCGTCCTTTATTTTATTCAAATTATTTCTCGTTTTATTCGAATTATTGGTTTTTATTTAGTCGAATTTTTTCGTTTATTCGTTTATTTTGAATTTCGAATTATTCGTTTATTCGTTTATTTTGAATTTCGAATTATTCATTTACTCGAATCATTCGTTTATTCATTTATTCGAATAAGCTTCCAATTTAATTCGAGTACTCAAATTCATAACGAGAAATAAATTATCCGAATAAACCTTATTTGAATAGAAACCCTAATCAAGCGGTATAGTTGTATATAGTGATTTTAATTTAGTTTCCAATTTGGTTGACTCCATAATAAATAATTCAGATCGCATGCTTGCAAAATATTTATAGACTATAAATAATTACAACATTAAAGTTTTGCAGCCGATGACTTTTACGACAGAATGTCATGCCGAATTTATGTAATGCTAATTTAATATTAATTTTTTTAAAAAAAATCTAAATGTATTAATATATTTGTGATGCATGTTCGTAGCTGTTGTGCGTGAAAATGAAATTTTATTTCAATTTCACACAGTTTCGCATACAACATAGCTAAAAAAAGTTCTTTAGAAGAAATTTTTTTTTTGACAATATAATAACAAACTACAAAAAATGTTAAAGATGGGAAACACTTTAAATAAAAATAAGCATCATGACGATACTTCTACTGGCAAAAATGATGATGATGAATATTCAGATAAAAGGGATGAATATTACGGGGAATGTCCACTCTGCAATAGATATAATACTGATGATTCATGGTGCCAATCATGTGGTCCAAGGCTGTTAACTGAAGGATGGACTAGTGGCAATGAAACATTAGATGAGTTAATTAAAAGTACACAACTTAAAGCAACAAGATATGATTATGATTATTATCTTCAATGGGTTCCTTATAATGATTTAACAAATATTGAAAAGATAGGTGAAGGTGGTTTTACAACTATATACAAAGCTACTTGGTTAAATGGTGATAAATATATAAATGATAGTGATGAAAAAACTAGTGAAGATAGGACTGTGACATTAAAAAAATTATATGATTCGCAGAATATTCCTGGTGAATTTATTAATGAGGTAAATTATTTTATTTTCTGATTTTTTAAATATTATTCTGATATTCAATATTTTTTTTTTTATAGTTTAGAAATTATGTTACATTTTATTGTAAATCATTTATAAATCATATTTATGGATTAACACAAGATCCAGCTACAAATAAATATATCTTTGTAATGAAATACATGAAAGGTAGAAGTTTCCAAGATTATGAAGATCCATATATTAGAAATGAAAAATATGGAGAATGTCCAACCTGCAATAGATATAATACTTATTATTCATGGTGTCAATCATGTGATCCAAAACTATTAACTGAAGGATGGACTAGTGGCAATAAAACATTAGATGAGTTGATTAAAAGTACACAACTTGAAGCAAATTATTATAATAATTATCATCATCTTCAATGGATTCCTTATAATGATTTAAAAAATATTGAAAAGATAGGTGAAGGTGGGTTTGCAACTATATACAAAGCTACTTGGTTAAATGGTGATAAATATATAAATGATGATGATGAAAGAACTAGTGAAGATATGACTGTGGCATTAAAAAAATTACATGATTCACAGAATATTTCTGATGAATTTCTTAATGAGGTAAATTATTTTATTTTTTTATTTATTTTTAAATTTTAAATATTATTGATTATTATTGTTGTAATTAAATATTTTGTTTATTATTTAGTTCAAAAATTATATGAAGTTTCATGATAAATCTTGTATAATTCATATTTATGGATTAACACAAGATCCAATTACAAAAGAATATATATTTGTACTGGAATATATGGAAGATGGAAGTCTTCAAAATTATTTAACAAAAGATTTTAAAATTTTAGAATGGATAGATAAAATTGAAATTCTTTATAAAATTATTAATGGTTTAAAAGATGTTCATAAAAAAGAAATTATTCATCATGATCTTCATAGTGGCAATATTCTTCAAGAAAATCTGAGTTCATTGATTGCAGACTTGGGATTATCATGCACAGCTAGTCAAACATCATCATCAAACAAAAATGATATATGTGGAGTATTACCATACATTGCACCAGAAGTTTTAAATGAGAAACCATATACAAAAGCATCAGATGTATACAGTTTTGGAGTTCTGATGTCTGTAATATCAACTGGTCAACAACCATTTAATAATTTTGCACATGATGAATATCTTGCAATTAATATATGTAAGGGTGCAAGACCTGGATTTTCAAACAATACACCAAAATTCTATATTGAACTAGCATTCAAATGCATGGATGCTAATCCAGATAAACGTCCAAATGCTGAAGAAATTTGTAAGATTATTTATAATTGGTTTAATCATTTGGAAAAGAGTTTAAAAAAATGGACAAAATAAAATTTGATCCTTCAACAATTACTGGAGTAATTCATCCAAATGCAGTTTATACTAGCAGATTTTTAAATTTTACAAACCTTCCCCAACCTGTGAACTCCAATAAAGTAACAATTATTGGTAATAATAATGGTAATTATCATTAATTATTCAATTATTAATTTTAAACTTTAGTATCAATATTAACATTATTATGTTATAAATTATAGTTTCTCATCTAATGGATATAAATATTTAGATTAATTTGATTATTTATGTTTAATAATAATATTATATAAAGGTAATAACTTCTCACAATTATCATATCTTTGGATTTTTCTTTTCATTTTGAAATTTGGATGTCAAATATGCACACTAAAATAATGATTTTTGATAAACAAATAAATGTAATTTTTAATAATCATACATAATTGCAGTAAAGAGGAAAATGGCTAGAATGGCACCCACAAGAAATGTGATCAGGATATATAGTGTAAAATCTAAAGAAGATGTTGTTTAGTATAAAGAATTGTTTAATGATGTGGAAAATAATTTTGAAAGCATAAATATACCTTTGTGGAAATTGATATTATGATTTAAATATAAATAAATTGGAAATAATTGTATTAACATTGTTTGCATTTAGAGATGCGATCCGCGGATATCCGTCATTTATCTCAAAAAATCAATCCGTAATCCGTTAATTGCTCAAAAAATACATCCGTCGGATTCAAACGGATTATCCGGATCATCCGTGAAATTGAACGGATCACCCGGATTGTACGGATCATCCGCGGTTTGAACGGATAATTCAGCAATATTAGTATAAAATGTTACAAAAAGAGTAGTAATGCTAGTAATTTATGACAATTCATTTATATTTATTATAAAGTTAATTCAGTGGGTGAATACATTCAACACAACTTGCATTTCTTTTTAAAAACAAAATTCGTTTAATTAAATTTCCTGCAGATCCATCTGTTACATACAAGTCTTTTCAGTTGTAATTGGTACTTGGCATTCTGAACCTTTTTTACCACTAGGTAAATTTATTTCTGCAAACCAATTCCACACCCAACTTTTTTTTAATGGTACATTTTTTAGTTTGTGTTTAGTCTGTTCATTAGAAATTACATTTAATACATTTCCATCCAACTCTTCTTCCGAATCTATATAGGTAAGTTCACTCTCATTATCATTACCATTATCATTGCCATTGTAATTATATTCGTTATTATCATTATTCATTGTAAGTAATCTTACAAACTAGTAAAGAAGCAACGGCATCAAAAGATGAATTAGATAAAGATGATAAAAAGTATTATATTTTAAAATTTTCTAGTACATAAATTTTTTTTATTCACATGATATTTTATTTACACGGATCATCCGGATACCTATAATTTCTAAAATTTCAATCCGCAATCCGTTAGCACTTTAAAAAAGCCGGATTGTTTTGCGGATATCCGGATTGACCATCCACGGATCGCATCTCTAAATAAAATTTTTTGTTGTGCGATTTGGTTAATTTTGATTGGTGGAATTTTGTAATTTACCAATAAAATTTTCGAAATTCCCTTATTCGAAAATGTGGACAGTTTAAGGGATGGATACTTGGGCTAAGTGATTGACTGACTTAGTGCTTATCATGATCGACTGACTTATCAAATTTTTTAAATAGTAAAAAAAAAAGGGTGAACCTTTTTGGTTAAGTTAGGCCAAAACCGACTTGTTGAATTTACATGTATCAACAAAATAAAGTGTAGCTTTGTAGAGAAATGTCTTAGCTTCAAAAATTACATCTTTTTTTTTGGTCATGCATTTCCATTTTTGGAGAAGGTAGAGGATCTGCAAGACCAATAAAAGTTGTAGAGACTAGGTGACCATCATTTCTTTCCAAATATATTGTAATTAATCCAATTAGGGAGAGATCAGAGACATTTTTTTGGGATAATTTTATGAACAAATCGAGGAGAATAGAGTATAAATTTTCATTCAATTACCCTCTTTTTTATTAATACATATCAACTATTAATTTCAAATAGGTATATTATATGACCAATTTGAGAATATCTAAACAAAAATCCAATTTATCAAGGTCATAAATATGAATTACACTGAAAATAGCACTGAAACTAGACAAGTATGTAAACATAAAAATTTAAAAAATTCCTTTTGTTAATCTTTGAAAGTTCATCAATTGATTTGTTTTTCTTTATTTGGGTTAAATCATTTGTAACTTTGAAAACAAGACATCGATGTAGTTGATAAAGTGGTTACAAGATTGTGGTTGATAATTTGGAATGTACTATTGGTTTCAGTAGTTGTTATTAAATCTGCTCATGTTAGTGTTCAAAATTTTTTATAATATTTTATGCATATATGCATATGTTTATTTATTTGCAAGTGATTAATTATTTTTATCCCCTCAGGTAAAGGTTTATCAACGGCAATGAACACTGTTCTGATTACAAATCCTTCGTTACCGAAGCAACTGAATCATCAGAAATGGTATTACTGATTGTTAATTTATTGATTGGCTAATGAATTGATTGATTATATATAATAATTTTTAAATTAATTAAAAATGTGTTCATATTA